GAATGAGCAGCTATTACCAAATCATCGGCATACATAACGTGGTTGACCAATAGGGAGCCATTCCTTGATCGCACCCGGGCATCGATCAGCCTCCCATTATATCTGTACCAAATCCCCCGGTACAGCTATTGAAGGCTTCACGAACTACGTGGTCAAAATAGATGTTAAATAATGTGGGAGCCTGAGGACATCCCTGTCGAACCCCAAGATGTACAGGGAATGGCTCTGACTCCCGGCCACATAGTTTTACCCGGGCCCGCTCACCATCATGAAGGTCCTTAATGATCGTGAGCAGAGGGTCAGGGACTCCGAAAGCACGAAGAACAACCCAGAGCCCAGGCCTACTGATGGTATCATAGGCCTTGACCAGGTCAATAAAGCAGAGATGTAGGTCTTGTTGGAATTCTTTACACCTCTGCTGTAGCAGACGGACAGAAAATATAGCATCTGTGCAGGACCGCCTTTTCCTGAAACCGCATTGGGGCTCCGCAAGCCTCTCCTCAGCGTGCCTAGCAAGGCGATGTTGAATAATCCTTTCCAGGACTTTTCCCGGTACACTGAGGAGTGAGATGCCCCTGTAGTTGTCACAGTCTGTGTTGTCCCCCTTCTTAAAGAAGGGGACCACCAGGGCATCCTTCCAATCCTTGCAAAACCCGTACAATGGTCCAGACTGTTGTTATGATGTCATATAGGGCAGTCTGTGCACAAACGCCACCCTCCCTCAGCATTTCGCTTGGGAGATCATCTCTGCCCGGTGCCTTTCCTGGTCTCAGACTCCAGATCGCCTTCAGTACTTCCTCAACAGATGGCACCTCAGCCAGCCACTCACAGGGGGTGACTTATTCCAATATTTGAGGCACCGCAGCCTCAGCAGGGTTATCCCCACTTTGTGCCATGATGTTTTCCTGGCTGAGGGATTTCCCCTCCCCCAGGACCTCACAGAAATGCTCAGCAAATCTGAAAACCTCTTCCTGGGGGTCGGACATTGGATCACCGTTTTTTCCCCTAATGATGGTAACAGGTGTGGCGCTGCAGGTTACTTTTTTGATGGAGTTAAATAGTGATTTGTGATCGCGGGCCACTGAGGCAGATTCCATCTCCTCAGCAACCCGCGACCACCACCCATCGTTGCAGCACCTTACGGCTCTCCGAACCTCCGAGCAAAGGCTGCGGTAAGCCTCCTCATTCTCTGACGTGGGATGCTGTAGCCGATGAGGGCCTGTCACTTTTTCTCAACTTTCCTGAACACCTCCTCTGTCAGCCAGAGTTTCTGGGGAGGTCTGGGCCGCGTACCCAAAGCAGCCAATGCAGCTGCATGAGTCAAAGTCCTAAACCTCGCCCATTTACCCTCGACATCAGGAGGAGTGGGGGATAATGCCAACCCCAGCTGCAAGCGATGATGAAATTCTCACTTGCAACTTTCATCAGCTGAGACCAGGCCACTTTAGGTTGGAATGGGGTCCCGGGTGTACACCCACCACCGGAGTGGAAGAATGGCAGGCGCATCTTACAGATGACTAGTCGATAGTCAGAGGGCAGATCAGCTCCACGGTAGGTCTTGGTGTCAAGGACATGATCTCGCATCCGCTGGTCCGTCACTATGTAGTCCATCAGATGTTCTTGCTTGGACCCGGCATGCATCCATTATGTTGTGTGGATGCGCCGATGCCGGAAGAGTGTGTTGGTAATTACAAGCCCATGGGCTGCACAAAAATCTAGCAGCCTCCTACTGTTGTTATTGAGCTGATCTGGCCCATGCCTTCCAATCACTCCAGACTAGGTGCCAGCAGTCATGACAGTCACATGCACCCACACGCACACATACGTGCGCCAGCACTTTTAAAACTCCGAATTTAATAACTGCCGTCTCCCACACGCCCATCATGAACCCCCTGTTTGTGTGTGAGAGAAAGAGAGGAGAGACACCCAGACCCTGGGTTCAACTCTCATGATCTCAGCTGTGCTGGTTCAGAGTCTCCGACATGACCATTATGAACTGTGTATTAGAGAGAGACACCCAGACCCAGGGCTCAAAACCCCATTATCTCAACTATGTTGGCTTCACGTCTCCGACATTTATGAATTCCGCTGAGCGGGAAAGACACACCCAGACTCTGGGACAAGACCCAGGACCCAGTTCGCCAACCCAGCTGAAGCAGCATTCCAAGCGTCTTAAATCTTCACCACCACCACCGCCACAGCCGCGAACTCAGTCCACCCAGCACTGTTCACGGATTCCATCACCACCAGTTCGTTTGCAATTGACATGTTGCGTAGCCGCGGTGGGGTGAAACACGTGGGTAACTCCCACCATTTTCCCCAAGCCACGGTGGCTAGGAGATGTTAACTCCCTCTCCTAGTATGCAGGAGGTCGTGGGTGCGATCCCAACTCTGACACGTGCTGTTGTATATTTGGAGTTTGCGTGTCTCTCTCTCTCTCTCTGTCATCATGGTGGCTAGGAGATATTAACTACCTCGCCTGATGCACAGGAAGTCGTGGGTGCGATCCCAACCATGACGCCTGCTGTTGTATATTTGGAGTTTGCGTGTCTCACTCTCTCTCTGTCAACATGGTGGCTAGGAGATGTTAACTACCTAGCCTGGTGTACAGGAGGTCGTGGGCTCGATCCCGACCCTGACGCCTGCTGCTGTATATTTGGAGTTTGCGTGTCTCTCTCATCATCATCATGGTGGCTAGGAGATGTTAACTCCTTCGCCTGGTATACAGGAGGTCGTTGGCTCGATCACCGACCCTGACGCCTGCTGCTGTATATTTGGAGTTTGTGTGTCTCTCTCCCTCCCCGTGGTCGCATGAATTTTCCTCCGGATCCTCTGGGGTTTCCCTCCACATTTAGAAACGTGCATTTAGATTTTTCATGACCATGTAATGATAAGCCCACTTCGGCGAGATATCTTTTGCGTTAACAAGGTCGCTTCTGAAAAACAGCTATGTAGCTCAGTGGGGCCTTACCTGGTAAGATACAGTTTAGTTTAAGTCACACAATTCCGTCAGGAGGAGCGGAGAGGTGAATCTTTGCTGTGACGATGCCTCCTTTGTGTAATAACACGCTGGAGACGGCTTGTGGAATCGGTCCTTTTATTTCACTTCTTTGCAGTTCACAAACACTCCCCGTTGCTGGCAGGCAACGGGAAGCGAGCAGACAGCCACCAGAGATACACCGCCGCGTGGCACCCGGAGCCCCACTCGCACGTAGCCTCTCTCTCTCTTCTTTCCGTGTCTGACCACGTGTCTCTCCTCTCTCCCCTTATTTAACGCCTGGGTCACGTGGTACACTCCAGCCAATCCTCAATAGCCTGCGCCGAATGTTCCAGATTCCCCATCAACTCCCGGGACCACGCCCCTGACTTGTCTTCTCATTGGCTGAGGCCAAGACCAGCAAAACCAATCACCTAGCTGACATCCCGTGATCACGCCGAGGCCATGCTCCCAGGCTCTCCCCCCATTGGCTGTAAAGCGGGACCGGCACAGCCGATCACCACGTGAATCCGACATAGGCTCTTATTACATATGTATAGAGATCTTTGTGAGTAGCGTTTTGTACCTGAATATATAGAACTCGGTGTGAATATATGGGTCTCTGTGGGAGTCTATGGGCCTCTGTGTGAATTTATAGATCTCCGAGTCTATGGATCTCTCTGTGAGTCTATGGGTCTCTATGTGAGTCTATGGGATTCTTTGTGAGTCTATGGGTCTCTATGTGAGTCGACAGGTCTCTGTGAGTCTATGGGTCTCAGTGTGGATCTGTGGGTCTCTATGTAAGTCTATGGGTCTAATTTTTGGCGGTTGTCAGCGGGCGGGTGGAGTGAGCCCAGTGATTGATGCCGGATCTGTAACCGATCTCTGGTTGTGGCTTTGCTCTCCAACACACCGGTGTGCTATACTAGTGTAGTGGGTTCAAGAAGAGTAGAGACGGCTTGTAGAGACGGCTTGTAGAGCCAACAGGTTTATTAAAATAACAACGGTAACAATTCCTAACACAAAGGGGTAGTGGCCCCTCCATCTGATACCTGGAGAGGTATCGCCTCTGGGCTAGTGTGTCCTATCGACTGGGCTACGTACTCTCGGCCCTCCGGCTAAGGGGCCTTAGGGGAGGCTATCCGACACGACCCAGCCAAGGTCCTCAGGTCCCGACCACTGGCCCACTCAGTCCCGGCCCTTAGAAGGACGTTGGGTCCCGGGGGTTCCCAGGGTCCGACCACTGGTCCACTCAGACAGACGTCGGATCTGCGGGTCCCAGGGTCCTAGCCTAAGCAGGTCTTCAGTCTTCAGCTTGACGATGACTGCCGGACCCGTCCAGAGGTCCAGCTTTTATACCGGTTTCAGGGTGTCTCCGCCCTTAGCCACGCCTCCCTTCTGGAACTCTCTAGGGGGCTCTGGAATATCCCCCCAGGCCCTCTCTTGGGGTCTGGGCAGCCCTTTTTGGCCAACGAGCCAATTCATCTCACCCATTCGTTATACCACCCCCTATGGACACATGCCTGCTACTACAGGTAAGGATGAATGGGAAATGTATGCCGTGCCCAACCACGCTACTACACTAGTAAGGGATTGGCATGTTCTGTTTACGTGACAAACACTAATTGTGTCGGGTGGTGGCGGGTTTAACGACACTTTTATGTACAGGGTGCTTCAAAAATGTTTTAACACTTATATGGGACTATTGTTTTTAATGTCAAAAGAGTGGATAATACACTGTAACATGATAACAAATGTGTGTTAAAAGCTTCAAAAAGGCAAAGAGTCTCCCACTTGTTCGCCATCGTTGTCAACGCATGCCTGAAATCTTCTCCACGTGATCTCCAGAGCCCTGGAGGCACGTTTCTTGTGGTATTGTTGCAAATTCTCTTAAGTGTTAACATTTTTTTGAAGCACCCTGTTTTTACGCGACCTAACTCAACAAACCTGGATAATGGATGATATTTGTTCACGAAAGCTTACCACGTGTTAAACCCATCTCCGTCGTTTCCTCTTTTCCCAGACCGAAGGCGAAAGTCAAACTGAGCCCTCAGTGCCGGCAAATCTTGACGAGCATTGCCAGCGACCCTCCGCCAAAGACGTGAGAACACATCGGTTCAACAGCCGGATGGGGTGGGGTGGGGGGGGGGGGTTGTGGTTGTCGACTGAAGCTTTAGGCCAACTTTGACGTGCTGGGCGCTCCGTGATTCCCGTGGGGGCCGCGGGTTCCACGCTGGTGTCAGTGCGGTAGGACGTTAAGCACTCAGCCACACTCACCGGTTGAGCAACAGGGGGAGCGCCACTCGGCCATGCTCACCCGGGGCAGCGGCACTCGAAGGGTCACAGCAAGGTGACCGACGTTCGCTGAGCGACCGGGAGTGGCCCGCTTCGTTCGGCAGATCACCAGTCACAAGGCGGCCGCCGACGCCGCTGTCGGGTCGGGTGACCGGAAATATGCGCGGTGATGGATCGCCGTTTTGAGACTCATTCAAGGCGGCGAAAAAGGCACCCGTGGCTGTAGTGAAACGACGTGACAACGCGAGGTTGCACCGTGCAAATGCAGCAGCTCAACACATCATACACGCTCTAAGGAGCAAACAACAGCCATGGAGATGGCAGCTGGTGCAGCGAACCAAGAATGAGGAACGAACGCTGTGGGAGTCACTGCGAAATATTCCATTGGAAAAGGATGACTATGCAGGTGAAGTCGAGTGTCAAGCGGCTGGGTTCTCGATCAACCAAAAAATCGACACAACCAGCTCTCAGGCGACCGGAGAAAGAGCATGCCGTGAGGACGTTTAGCCAGAGCTGGTACGCCAGAAAGGCCTGGCTCTGTGGATGTGCACAGTATAATGCACTTTTCTGTTTCACTTGACCTCGGCTAAAATTTGTCGAGTTGTGTGAGCTGATCTCGAATTGCTCTTTGGGCGTTTTGCCAGAGTCAAAGAGGTTTGTGTGGTGTGTGGATGTGAGGGGTCATGGGAACAGCATTTGAGTGCTTCGTTGTGCCGTTTCGTACGAGCGCCCCACCGTTGGCAGGCAAGACAGTGATAGTTTTCACTTTCACGGCAATGCCGATAACGCGACGGGGCTCTGTTTTGTATTTCGTTTGGACACAGTCTCTTCGGAGGTGACTCATAAACCAGCCCCACCTGCAGTGGCAATGATATGAGCCGCCTCTGGTCAACAGGTCAACATGTCAATGGTTGAAGAGGTCAACATGTCAACAGGTCAACATGTCAACAGACCAACAGGTCAACATGACAACAGACCAACAGATCAACATGTCAACATGCCAACAGGTCAACATGTCAGTAGACCAACAGGTCAACAACAGTCTCCATGGACGCGGGGAGGGGGTTGGTGGTGGTGACCCCGCTCTGTCTCCTGCCTTAGGTTCAACGAGCAGTTGGTGGTGGAGACGATTCTGAAGGTTCGCGATTGTCCCTGGCTCGAGAACCGCACCGAGATCGACGCCTTCCGGTAAGGCGTCTCACTCCCGGCACGCACGACGGCGGGGTGGGTGGACGTTATGGTGTGGCCTGCCCTCATGGCGCCCGGCCACCTTTGTATCCCCCCCTAAGGATACTCGTGGTTCTGCTGATCGCGTTCAGCTGCGTTGGTGGCCGCGGGCATGGGGCGGGGGAGAGTCGAACACCGGGGGGGGGGGGGGGGAGAGGGGGTCGCCGGGGGGAGGACACGAAGAGTGGAACTCGGGCAAGCGGGGGGGGCGGGGGGGCGTGGGGGGGCAGGCGGGCGGGTGGGGGCGGGTGGGGGCGGGGGGTGGAGGGTGGGAGGGGCAGGCGGGGGCGGTGCGGGGCAGACACTGGGAGGGACACGGGGAGTCGCGGTATTCGTTTTGATTGGTTGAGACCGCACCAGGATGACGACTCCTTTGGATATGGAGTCGCACGGAGGAATCCGGTGAGCCGTGAAGCTCTTCATTTTTTTATGTTTCATTGACATGCACAGAACCGAGCGTTCGGCAATGGGTGGGCCGGAGAGTTGCTACCGAGTGAGCCGGTAGTGGGTGCATTGGGTAGACAGATAGACAGATATCAGATAGACAGATAGATAGCAGACAAACATATCAATAGATATCAGATAGACAGATCGATAGATAGCGGATAGATAGACAGATAGATAGCAAATAGACAGATCGATAGATAGCGGTTAGACAGATTGATAGATAGCAGAGAGACAGATCGATAGGTAGCGGATAGACAGATTGATAGATAGCAGATAGACACATCAATAGATAGCGGATAGACAGCTATATAGCAGATAGACAGATCGATAGATAGCGGATAGACAGATATATAGCAGATCGACATATCAATACATAGCAGATAGACAGATAGATAAATAGTAGATAGACAGAGATATATCTAGTGGATAGATAGATGTCGGAAAGACAGACATATAGATATGAGATAGATAGATAGACAGATAAACATCAGATACACAAATAGATATCAGACAGATAGATAGAGAGATAGATAAATATCAGATAGACAGATAGATCTCAGAAAGACAGATAGATAGATAGAGAGATAGATACTCTCTGGTTCGTTTGGTAAAATCACGTAGACAAATAAATAAATAAAAGAAACACGACGTTTCGGTCGCAACACAAGCGTCCGTCATCACTCCGAGTAAGCGCAGGTGATGATGACGGACGCTTGTGTTGCGACAGAAACGTCATGTTTCTTTTATTATATTTTCTATCTACGTGACTTTACCAAAAGAACCAGAGAGTATGGATTCTTGCAGTCACGAAAGATTCAATCAAGACTAGACAGATACATTTTAAAAGGCACAGTCCTGCAAATGGCTACTCTCACATCGCCACTCACGGAGCAGCTGCAAGAAAAACCCGAAGTTCCATCCACGCTGATCACGCTGCTCAATGCGACCTATTACTACTCATACTATTGTAGTGGGTACAGACTGAGACTAAGGCTTAACGTTGGAGGCGACACATTTATTAACTCCACTAGGGCCGGTACTGCATCCGCAATCAACGGTGTCCGTGGTGGCAATACGTTGCATGTCTTGCCTTTCCTAGGCTGACCACACACAGCGACATGCAGCGATGTCGCTACACTAATACTATTACTACTAATACTATTACTTCTGATACTATTACTACTAATACTATTGCTACTAATACTATTACAACTACTAATACTATTACTACTAACACTCTTACTACTGCTATTACTATTACTACTAATACTACGATTGCTACTCATAATACTATTACTACTAATACTATTACTACTAACACTATTACTACTAACACTATTACTACTATTAATACTACTAGTACTATTAATACTACTATTACTACTAATAATACGATTACTAATACTATTACTACTAATACTATTAATATTAATACTCTCATACCCGCGTCGCCCTCGCACTGTTTGGCTTCTGGCATTCTCCAGTCTGGTGCTAAAACATAAACTCAACTTTTTATTTCATTTTGACCAGGTGAGACCCAATTGAGCTACTCTGTAGCTCTTTTTCAGAAGCCACGTGGCCATCAACCAAGTGGACTTATCATCATCATCATCACCGTGTGGAAATTTTATATCAGCCAAATACCCTAAATGAATGAGTGGTGAGTGAGTGGGTGGGTGAGTGGGTGGGTGGTGGCTGCGTCAGTGGCTTTCCGGTTTTTTAAACCCCTACCTCTAGCTTGTACTATTTTAATGTTACCAGGTGTAAGACCGTCAACTGAGTCACATAGCTCTTTTTCAGAAGCGACCTGGCAATCGCAAATCATGTCTCACCGAAGTGGGATCATTATGATCATCATCGTGTGGATATTTATGGCAGCCAAATACTCTAAACGCGTGATGTTGATTCTAAATGTGAAGGGCAAAACCGGAGGGCCCGGAGAAGAATCCACGCAACCATGGGGAAGAGAGACACCGCAAACTGAAAATATACAGCAGCAGGCGTCACGGTCGGGTTTGAAACCACGACTCTTTGCATCCCAGGCGAGGGAGTTAACATCTCGCCACCATGGCATACACTGGTGGGACAAGGCCACAAAGAAGGATGCTGTCTCTGGCATAGGCGAGTGAGTTTCAAAAACAAGGCATGTGATGCACACTCGAAATGAAGGACGTGGGCAGGTGCTCCAAATCGAGGGCAGACACATTTATTGTGGTTAATAGCAATCTTGTGAAGGACAGCACCGTCACTCTGTAAAATGCAACAGCACGTGTGTCGCGATTAACCATGTGGCTGGTGTCCACGTCTGGTTAATCATTAACAGTTTTCTATTAAAACCAAATTCTACTACAGATAAACCATCTTTGTCTTTGACAATCATATTTACACATCACTATTCGAATATTCCTTTAATTCTAAGCTGTATGTCTATCTATACCATCCACTTATATTGGTATCTTACACCCATTATATGTACTGTATGTGTACAGTATACTTACTGTACGTGTCACCATTGTACAACTTACTACTTTACATGTGTTATATTCTCAATGGCATTGCAAGTAGTCATACTCTGGGTGCATGGGCATGGTTATATACGAAATAGTATTATGGTTAGATAATTACAATGACATTAGTTTATTACAGTGCGTCATCCTTTACAATGCACAGTGATAAATCCCCTCTAATTGCATATATCACAAACGAACAATTCAAAGCCAAGCTAAAAGTCTAGAACAAGTCTAGAACATTTATATAACGATCAAAAAGAACCTTTGGGTCCTTTACCTGTAAAATGCAACAGCACGTGTGTCACACACAGAAATTATTCCGAGTCGCCATTAACCATGTGGCTGATGTCCAAGTGCAGTTATTCCATAACCCTGCCAGCCACCTACAGGCCCAACTCAGTCATCATGCTGCTGTACACACATGCATTGATGCACTGCACAGCACATCAGGACTTTCACAGAACTACACTTTACTCCCTTGCTGCACAAGGATATAATTAAAAGAGTGATCTATTCCTAATGTGCCACACTCTCCCCCACATAATGAGTGTCGTCTCGACACTCCATTTTTTCCTTGCAAACATTTTGCAGTGTTTTTCCTTAAACTGGTCATGAAAGGAGTTTATGAAATCGTGAAAACTATTTCTCTAGGGATCATATCCCTTCCAAGATAGCGCCACTCCAAAAGCTCTCTATTTTGGGGTGAGCTCCAACTCTTTGTGCACGAAGAGATAGGAGCCCAAGCATTGTATTATGCTTTTGGAACTACCAGATAATCTGGTATTAATAAACCATGCTTCACATTTTACTGACCAGAAATGGTTAGGATTCTTTTCCCAGTACCTGTCAAGATAAAATCTTTACAGCTTGTCAATGCCCTGTAGAATTTAGCTTTAAGGTACTTACTTATCGGCCTACCAACATACTTGAAACCTTTTCCTCACCATTTTTTTCTCATTTTAGGCAATGACTCCTTCTTAACATATTAAACACAACACTAACAAACAAAAACATCTTAAACAACTAACAACCATATGACCACAGCTTATATCTTGTCTTGATCAAGCATGTTGTAGGGCTTCTTCTTCACCGCCATCTCCGTCGTCAGTGGGAACTTGATGATGGCGTAGTGGCCCATCTTGTTGCGCGTAGGTGTGCTCTTGCCTGGGTACTTGGGTTGAAGCTGTAGCCACAGCATGTAAGGCCGGGAGAACGCAGGGAAGGTGTGCACCTTGCGGTGGTGCACTGCCTGCACCCTGTGCAGCACGTTCTTCTTGGCCTTCTGCGCTTTGGTCCTCGCCTCGCCCTTGGGCTGCACCTCGGCCCCGTGGGCCTGGCTGCCCTCAAGATACCCCTTGCCTTTGACCACCTCGGGCTTGTTTTGTCTCTCAAGTTCCAAGTTGGCTGCTTCATTGACTTTTTCAATCAGCATCTCATCAGTGACAGTGATGCCATCCAGATGGGGCTTAATTTGGAATTTTATAGAGTCACTGAGCAATCCTGTGCCAATCGATCTCAGAAACTTCCTGTGTACCATATCTGGATTGTACTGGTCATCAGCTCCTTTTTTTTTAGATGCAAATAATTGCCTGTCCTTTAATTCGATAGCTCGGAACAGAAAGTTTTGTGCAGTTTCTCTTGGCTCCTGAGAGATGTTCATCAACTTCTCATAGAGATCAGATGTGCTTTCTTGTCTATAGTGTCCCTTCAAAATGATTTTTAACTTCTAAATAGTCAGATCAGTTTTTATTTATAGCATGTCCCTCAAATTTAGACCAGGACTGATTGCTCTGACTACTGCCTCAATGATGTCAGACTCAGCATGGCCCTTACGGGTTCCTGTGTCGATCTGGTGTATCAGATTAATGTAAGATAACTTGTCTTTCTGCCCTCTTTCACCAATCTGCCCGCAGATCCTGAATTCTCTCCGTATTATGACTTCCGGCACATTTCCTAGTCTGGCCATTCGTATGGGATTCAATGCTGCTGTGTTTTTTGTTCCAC